GACGGTCGGGCAGACTCTGGAGAGCTTATTTTCTTCGTCGCTTCCGCTTCGTTAGTTCGCAGGACGTCAGGTGGAAAGTGTCAAGCGCGGAACTTCAGTGAGAAGGCTTGGGCTGTAGATGGGCCGGATATTAATTTTGGGATACCTGGACATTAATTTAATTTAAACCTATACTTAATACGAGGTAGTGGATATTGTGTGGTGGAGAGTTGTTCAGAAGAGAGAGAAATGTGTAAGAAATGTTCTGAACCACAAATTCTTTACCAAAAAGGGAAAATAGAAGTTTTAATTGGAATGGACGAAAAAAGAAAGTTAGAAGTTTATTTAGAACGGAGGGAGTAATAAATAATTAAGTAGTAGTAATAAATAAATTTTGGGCAGATTAATGTAATAAAAAAATGAAGTAATACGGAAACAGAAGCTGAGATTATTGTTACAGTCAAAGATCCCGACTGCTTTTGTGATTCTTTACTTGTTCAAACTCGCCAAACGTGATTAAGGATGTGTTTTTTGGATTAAAATTTGCTGGTCTCGTCTAAACTGATCTGGTAAATGTATGTTCTATATATATATTTTATAACTATGAAAGTTTGATCTGGTCTAGTTAGATTGAAGTTGGTGTGATCTGATCTGATTTGGGACAGAAAAGAAAAACATCCTAAAATGTTATTTGACCAATTTTATGAGTTGAGATTTCTAGAAAATAAGTAATTTGAACAAACAAACGTTCGTAGGACTCTGAGGATTTTCTCTCATCTATATTGATGATTGAATGTTAATAAAGCCAATCAATAAAAGTATAAAACCACGAAATACATGTAAAAAGGAGCTCATGGAAACCTCTCTATATCAACTACCAAACACAAAATAACATAACATACCGTACTTTATTGTTTCCAAATACAAAAAAGTTTTTTGTACACTTTTATACACACTTTTGTACACACCTATGTTTGTGAAAGTTTTTTTGTCTGTGAACATAGACTCACAGACAATGTTTTGCACAAACAAAATATTGGTTGTGAACCGAATTCACAGACAAAAAAAGTTTCACAAACATGATGTGTATAAGACGTATACATCAAACAATTTTGTTCCAAATAATAAGGCAGTTCCTTGAAACTTCAACAAGGCAGTTCCTTAAAAATTCAATACGTAGTATATACTAATTATTCCAACGTTTTTAAATAAACATAGTTTGTCATCCCATCGTTTTTAAATAAACATAGTTTGTCATTCCAATCTTCACGTTCAGTAAACGTAATTTGGGAGAAGTGGAGAACTACAAAATAAGTCCTCGAACTTTCATAAATAGTGCAAATAAGCCTTTTTATAGGAGGCTCTGTCCAGCCATCGCAATTTGGGGCGATTTCCAGAGGATTTTTTTGTTGACATTTTTTGAGAATCTTCTTCATTAAGTCTAGTTTACTCATACCAAATTTCAGCTAAATATTTAATAGGTAAGACAGTCAAATGAAATTTTGAAGATAAATGCGCAGTTAGGCAGCACAGTATACTTCAGAAAATCATTTGACTGCATTCTCGTGAATGTTTTTATGAAAGTTCGAGGGCTTATTTAATACTTCTCCCAAGTAATTTTTATATGCAAATTGAGAGTTTAATTTTTACTATTCCTCGTGAATTTAGAACATCTCATATACGTAGTCAGTGTTTAGAAGATAGTTATGTACTGAGAAACCCCAATTTGAAAGCTTTCTTGAAACTCATCTAATTCTCTTCTTTTATCAATTTCATCTATGTTTGCTTAACGGAAAGAAAAATAAGAATTACATTCTAGGTTGTTGGTGTGGCACACTTGATTAGCCACCCATAGGGGTGGACTGAACCGGGCCAAACCGGCCCGCTACTGTACGGGCCCAGACCGGACTGGGACCGGATGGCTGGTTCCGGGCTTTAGCCAGGGTTGGGCGGGCCTGACGGGCCGGGCTCGAGCCCTATTTTTCTTGAACCAGCCCGAGCGGTCCAGGTCGGGCCTAGTTCTTTTTTTTTTGTTATTTCAATTTTTTTCTTTTCCTTGGGTAGGGATGGGTGTTTTGGGGAGGTTTGAGGGGTGGAGGTGAGGGGGGGGGGGGGATCGGGGGTTAATTAGAAAGCAAAAAAATATATATATACACATTGGACCAGCCTGGACCCGGTATCAACCTGGGCCAGTTCCGGGCCCAACATCTGAAAAAAAAAAGCCCAGCTTGAACCGGCCGGGGCCCAATCCATGCCTAGCCACCCACCCCAAGCCTCTCGTGTGCGAGAGGTCGGTCTTGCAATATTAGGGCGTACCTTAACTCAATGGCTGAGTATTGAAGAAAGTGATAATACAGAGTAGGGGTGGACCGGTTCCGGTTAGGGCCTGAGCCCGGCCGGGCCTCGGTTCATGAAAGGGGAGGCCCGGAACCGGCTCAAGTAACCCCGGGTCCGGTCCGGGCCGAGCCTCGGTTCATTTTTTTTTTGGCTTTTCCTAATTGACCCCCAACCCTCCCCCCTCACCCCAAACCACCTCAATGGCCCATCATACCAAGCCCAACCAAAAACTTAAAAAAAATTCAAAAAAATAAATAAATAAATTGGCCCGGACCGGGTCCGAACCGGCCGGTTCACTATTTAGCAGGCCCGGGCCCGAACCGCCTACGACCTACCTCACCGGGCCGGGTGGCCCGAACCGGGCACCAACCGGTTCACCGGGCCGGTCCAGGCCCGCACAGTAGCGGGCCGGACCGGTTCCAGGCTGGTTGGCCCGGCCCGAGTCCACTCCTAATGCAGAGGCGAGTTCATATGGTGAGGAAGCATCCCAATAAACAAAGAATTGGGATGCTTTTGAGAGTATACTCCGGATTATAAACAAAGAATTCTACTCTTATGAATTAGATTTAGGTCACCCGAGCTACATGACCATCTTTGTACGCAGATTGTTACAATAATGCCACAATGTGAGTTTGATGTGTTAATTTGAATAAATCGGAATGATTTGAATTTTGAAATGGCTAAAAATGTTTTGAAATTGAATTGTGTTTCAGCCCCATACTAGATCAAACATAAATAAATTAGAATTAGACAATGATAAAATACACATACATTATATGCTTCGTATTTACTAGAATACACCAAACTCAAATAAACCTAATCAAATAAGACTTGGAAAATTTTAGCTGAGCCAAAAACATTCTAATTTGTTAGATGGTTCCATTCATGATAGAACTAGCTAAACAAATATGCTTAATTATAAAAAAAAAAGTGCAATTCGAAAATACCCACAAACACACAACACATGGAAACAGAGCCAAAACGTTCATACTTGGGATATTCAACAATGTTAACAATATTTAAAACCTAGCCTGCCTTAGGGTTGGATTCGGTTCGGGCCACCCGGCCCGTGACCCGGCCCGGCCCGGCACTGTACGGGCCCGGGACCGGCCCGGGACCGGGTATGGACCCGAACCGATGGGAAGGGGCGGGGCGGGCTCGGTTCAGGATTATTGTGACCCAGCCCGGCCGGGTCGGGCCCGGGCCCGGGTCCGGGCCTCTTTTTTTAAAAAAAAAAAAAATTTTGGTTGGTTGGGCTACTATCCATTGGGGGTGGGGCTGGGGACAACCCAAACGGCTATATAGCCGTTGGGTGGGGTAAAGGGGGGGTCCAGGGGGTTGGCTGGTAGGGGGGGGGTGGGGGGTAAAAAAACCTATAAATACTCATAATCTTAAACATTTTTTCATATCTCTTCTCCAATTCTTCCTAAATCCTATTCTTAACTCTCTACTCTCTAATTCTCTTATTCTCCAATATATTATATATCTGCTCTCTAATTCTCTTCTCCAAGAAGTTAAGATGGAAAATCAATATGCCATTATACGGTATAATTTTGATAAGCAGAAGGATCCGAAGACCGGGATGTGGTACGCAATTTGCAAATGGTGCGAAAAAAAATGTATCATGGTGGTTTCAGGCGGATTCGGGATGGCAATCAAGCATATGAAGTGATGTGACAAAACCAAAGGATCGGGAGGTGCGAGAAGTTCCGATTAATTACAATTTTCAAAATGTTTATCTCTTAAAGTTTGTTTTAATTTTCAAATGTAGTTCCTATTTCATTTCAAATAAATGCAATTGAAGTTTGTTTTTAATACTCGTATAAAACTATAAACTATAAAATATAAATTAAAAAAAAAATTAACCGGCCCGGCCCGAACCGGATATGACCCGTGACCCGGGCGGGTGGCCCGGCCCGAACCGGACCCGTCCAACCCTCGGGCTGGTCCCGGGCCCACTTTTCTTGAACCGGCGGCCCGACCGGGCCTAGGCCCGGCCCGGACCCGACCCGGCCCGAATCCATCCCTAGCCTGCCTCATTTCTCAGTGTATGTTATTTTAACCCTCCCTAAATCTAACCCAGGAAAAACTACCGCGATGTGCCAATACATTGCTGATTGCCTGGTGATATTACGGAGTATAAAGTAAAAACCCTTTTAGAATATTGTTGATTTGTTGCATAAATTTGCTAGAGAAATTAGAGTTTAGTTTGCACCCGAAAATAGAAGGGAATTGAAGGAAACAAAAAGGTTCAGTTTACACCCGGATAGAAGGGAAGGATCGAAGGGTCTTTTATACAGAGTAAAATGAATATTATTCAGTGACAAGGCTATATTATGACTGAGAGAAGAGACAAGTGGGAAAACATGTAAAGCCAAAGTTATATGATATCAGAAAAAAGGTACTTACGATGCTGAGTGTTGGACATTCCAACGCAGTAGCCAAGAATACAGAGAAATCCCCTTTGTCAATTATGTTAAAGGCATTGGGTTAACCGGTGAGCGTAGCTCAACTGGTAGGAAGGGAGTGACACAAGAGTTAGGTCCCGGGTTCGAATCCCGTCAACTACGATGAGGGGTTACTATGCTAAAAATGCATAGGGCCTCTGCAAATATCAAGGACAGGGCCCCACTCTCTATCTGTCAGATTGGGATTATAGTCCAACTTACATCCTCCCAACGTATCGTCCGGTCGTTGCAGAGTAAGACTTTGGTTGCAGTGTCACAAAGCTGAAGAAACTTGTGTTTAGGAGCAACTGAATGGGAATTATAAGACTAGTCCCTAACAGCATGTTTGACCATGGAGTCAATTATCACATGCATCTTGTTCATACGAAGAGAAAATGGAAATAGGCATAAAGCTGAATCTGTTCCCATTCATAGTGTTAGCACCACATTCAAGCATAGGTCTTTCCTCAGAAATGGCCAAACCAAACCACACATATCCAAGAAGTCCCACTCAGAAGGATGCAATGTAAGCAGACCTTACCCTCTCTACTTCTACTAACTCACACTAATAAACAAATACTAGTATATGACATTCCAATTAAAAGTCATGACATTAACAGCTACCAAGAAGATCAATACTACTTCTACATTAATTTGTAATCTCTAAGCCCAAACACAACTATCTTCACAAAGATCCACACATTTGGGCAGCCAACTTAAGCTAGAAATAGAAAAAAATTGAGAATCAAAGTTGGAAGCCAAGATTATTACAAAATACGGAGTATAAGACATAAGAGTAAACAGCAGGTGAATTCCACCATCTGAGCAATCATACCAACAATAGGAAAAGACATTTAAGCACACCTATGAGGGGGCTAAGACACTACTCATGGAAACCATAGAACAAGCACACCTAAACAGGCATAGCAAACTATAAACAAACATTTTGTGTGTTTATAAAAAGATTAAGCATATACTAACTGGAAAATGCTTCATCCTATCCAGTTTAGCCTTAATTGCATATCACCTTATTAGTAGCCAACGGAAATAAAAACCTCGATCTAGTAAGTAAAGGAGAAACCCTGAGCATTAAAGCCAAAAATAGCATTGCTACCATCAAAACTGTATTTAAGTTCTTGGTCAGACAAAAAACCTCGTCCTCCAAGTGATTCAAGCTTTTCTCTGCTTCTGATGCAGGTAAAACACAATACATCCTGCAGCAATAGTAGCTGCAGCAGATCCTGCAATAACAGGCCACCCTTTCTTAAGATCAAAATGACAATTCTTCCCATCAATCCCATTAATATTTCCATCAATAGCCCTTTCAGAAATCTTCCTTGCCTTCTGCTTCATCTCTTTCTCCAATTCAGCCACTCTCCCTGCCATTTCTATTGTTTTCTTTTCCAACTCCTCATTCTCCTTTATCAACTCCTCCTTCTCCTTATCCGTCCCCTTCTTGCTCAACAAAGCATCCTTTAAATCCTCAACTTCCTTCTTTAAAGATATAATTTCCTTCTCCTTAGATTCCATCTCAGCCAAGTGATTAATCCCACTACTCTCCAGCTTCTCTAATCTTGAAATGAGAAGATTCCTTTCCACCTCAACCGCTTCAAGTTTCACTATGTTCTCTTCCTTACTGCCTTTCAACCTATCCAAAGCCGTCTTCAAATTAGACGCCTCAGAGTTTGATTCGTTTAGTTTATTCGTAGCAGTGGTGAGATCATGCTGCAGACGAGCCACCTCACCCTCAAGCTCAGATGTTCGAGCAGCCGCCGATCCAAGAGCCTTGTTCTCCGACTCTGATTTCTCCAACTTTTTCCGCAACTCGGCTTTCTCGCTGTCAAGCTCCTCGATTGTCTTCTTCAGTTTATCGATTCTCTCTTTCACGAGATCGTTTTCATGAATCAGCTCCTTCTTCTCCTGTTCCAAGGCAGCCAGCTTCTGGGTCAGCGCATGTGTCTTCGATTCGATATCGTAATCATCTTCCACTTCCACGCCGATCTCAGCATCGTCGAACACATCTCCGTTAGTTGCCATGTCGTCCGCCATAATCAACACTAAGAAATCAATAATGACGAAAGTAGTGGACAGAAAACGATATGATTAATCAAAAGGAATACTAAATTAAATCGCGCAAAGTAAGTTTTCACAGAATCTAGAAACGCAAAACTGAAAATGTAAGAATCACCTTCGTTATGTGGTGACCAAGCAAAACGCGAGGATTGAGATTAGGGTTTAGTTCCGAGCGTGGAAATGAGAATAAACTACCCTCTATGAGGTGGCGGCTTTCAGTAAATCGGAGATCATAGGCTTGACAGCAATGAACGGTAATGGATGCTTCATCAACGACAATGATTGCCAAAGCGAGAAGGGGTCATGGGCCAAAATATCTTTTCGGCCGCAAGTGTAAATGATATGTTGTTGGGTTGGATCGTGTAATGGACCGAAAATATGTCTTTTCGGCCTGTAGTGCATATGAATGCTAATGGGTTGGATCCGCAGATGTGCTATTTGAACATTCGAACCTATTTGACCAAAGCAAAGGGTAATTATGTTCACACTCACAAAATTATTATTTACAGCCACCTACTTATATTTGAAAATTAAAAAATCATTTAAAATATCTTATTTGTCTTTATATTAAATCGGTACATAAAGAATGGCAAATTATTTTAGGGTGACTTTCTACTTCATAGAAATAGCGGTTCTTTCATCGCATTTTTCATAAATCGGTACTCATTTTCGATTCACGTTTTGATAATATTTGATTAGTAAAATAATCTTTTACCTCTATAAAAAGTACATCTATAATTATTATGGAGTAATTTTCTTGAGAGGTGGACATAATTGGAACCTTTCAGTGAGTTCAATCTAAGAGTTTAATTGCGGGACAGAAGGATATATTCTCATAAGTTGTTCCTTGTAATATATTCTCATAAGTTAATATTAGGTCAATGTTCTTGCCCCGTGCCATTTACATCGTATGGATAGATGAAAGAGAAAATGCAAGAGGTGGCAATGATTAGCTAAATGGTATGGCAGGTTGCAAAAAGATATTTGTTAATTTAGTTGTTGGTCATAGCGGTTAGTGGAAAATGCATTGTTTCAAAATGTTAAGTCCAAAGCGCCGGTATTTGTAGCATTTTTATTTCTATGATTCTGAACAAAAATGTTATAGTCGGACATCTATTAACTAAACAAGATGGATCCACATATCACTTATTCCAAATACACGCTAACAAAAGGTCAACCCACTATTTTTAGTTTATTTTTAGTTGAAGCGGGATTTTCTAAACGGCTCCTTTAATTACTTATATCGTTATATTTTTTTGCTAAAGTGATGTCATATATTTGCAGTTCAACCTAACTATTACATATATCTTTTGCCAAGAACATTGACCTAATATCAATTCTTATTGCTACCACATCTAGCACTCGGGAGATTTGCAATTTTAGTCCTGTAACTTTCGGTTGTTATCGTTTTTGGTACTGTAACTATAAGCACTAGAAAATTTGGTCCTGTAACTAATAAATCTTTGTAATTTAAGGACTTTCCCATCGGAAAGTACACTTTCCGGCGGAAAAGTTCGACGCCGGTGACATCTTTTCCGGTATGCTATTGCCGAAAAGTGTACTTTTCAGGGGAAAAGTCCTTAAATCGCAAATATTAATTAGTTAGAGGACCAAATTTGCAAGTGACTAAAGTTACGGGACTAATAATGATAACAGTCGAAAGTTACGCGATGAATATTGTAAATTTCCTTTAGCACTCAAATGCTATGAGTTTTCCTATTGCGTATGAACTTTTTAAACTAATTTTTTCTTAAACAAAAAATAAAAATAATAATGAGTCTAAAACCAAAAGAATAATAAATCTCATACACATCAATTTTATAAAATCATCTTTCTCATTTCTCAATAAAATATTAATAAGCATATTCTTTTTTCAACATAAAAATATTAATAACAAGTTTTGTAAATAATGCACGCCATCTATTAATATTTACTACTTTAAATCACATTAACATCACACTACCAAGGCATCCTCAGCTCCGATGCCCCTAGGGCGGGTCTAGTAAGGCATGAGGGGGGGGGGGGGGGGGCAGTTGCTTCCAATAAACGCCTAATAACCCTTTCATGCCCCAAATGTTACACTAGTTATGATGTACTCCATGTTATTGTTATCGTGATTACTTGCTACCGTGAGTTGTGGAGGTACACTACATCCGTCCCAAAATTAACTTCTCATTTCGGATTACGATGTTTGACTGACGATAAAGTAACTTGATCCGTGTTCACACTCAAATTTTTAGGATAGAACCCTAAGACTTAATAATATGGTATCAGAGCTGATTAAACTTCAATGAGTAACTACATTTCCGCGTGTAAACTTATATGAAAATGGTGAATCAAGATTTACTTACCCTTTACTAACAAAAATTTCTTGGATAATTCCAAGCCCGATCGTGGCAATTAATAGGCATGATACCATTTAAAAAATACTCAAAAAGTTTCAAGCAAGAATTCCCAACTGTACCACTTGATATGGAGTCCGTCCACCGTACAATCGGTTGTACGGTGAGCATTGTACAGTCGGTGGCATTTTTGTAATATAGTGTGAAAATCGTGGTTTCTGCTATCTGAGCATTAGTGTATTGTTAATGAGCAATAGTTCAATTTTAATGAGTATTAAGAGTCTAATAATGAGCACCATGTTATTACAAGAAAGCTGATGTCACAACTAAAAAACGGTGACATTTTCGTAATTTCGGTGAAAATCACGGTTTTCGTTAGATGAACATTAATACATTGTTAATGAGCACCAAACGTATTTTACTGAGTATTAAGAGTCGAATAATGAGTATTGTGATATCACCTTCATATATTGTAATTCACTTTCTTTTTCTTATTTTATCTTTTATAAAAAGTCATTAAATTATATCTATAATCAACTTCTATAAAATTCAATATGCGAATTTAATGTAGTATGATACTTTTGAAATATGCATTGATATGCCATTTTAAAATGAGCATAATACCAGTGTCAAATGAGTATAAATAACTTACAAAATGAGCATTATATACAAGTGTGCATGTAATCACATGAAACATAGAAAATATATCCTGAACAAAACCATTATTATGTAGAATAAATCAAAGATATGTTAACATTATATACAAGTGCAACAAAGATATTTCATCAAAAAAGGAATGAATTTTCACTTTGTAATTTTGACACACACTTGGTAGACATTCAATAATGATAAGCTAATTAATCATAATAAACTGTTGTATTATTAATGAAAGAGGGACCATTTTTTTAATCAAAATCTCAAAAGTTAAATTCATATTGCAGTGCATCACTCAATTTAATCCATATCCGAAGTTGCTGACATAAGAGAGAAAAATAAAAAAAACTAAAAATAGAACAATTGTAGGAAGCAAAAACAATGGTTCCAAGCTCCATTGATGAGGATTCCAAGCTCCATTAAAGCTGAGGAAATTTGCAGACAGAATTACTGTAGTAGCTCGGCGCTGGGAAAGGTCAGCAGAAACGATGGGAGTAACATGCATCTAATTGCCATCCGAATTGTGAATAATTGTAAAATACGTGGTTGTACGGTGAGGATCGTACAACCGGATGTACAGTATATTTTGCCCTTGATATGGATAGTCCCTTTAAATTGAAGTGTGCATATGTGGAATACTCCCTCCGTCCCTAAATAAAAGCATTTGTTTCCTTTTCGGGCCGTCCCTAAATAAAAGTTCCCTTTCCTTTTTTGGCAAACAAAACAGTGCCAAACAGTGCCAAACAGTGTCCAAACAGTGTCAAACAGTACCAACCAAACCCACTTTCTTAAGATGTGTGTAAAATGAATGGATACTTTTATATAGGGACGGAGGGAGTACTTTTTATTGATGTTTTTGGTGGGCGAGAAATATTCTGGGTTTAAATGGAGCAAGTATGCTCTTAATTGGATACAAATTTTCTGCTCTGATTTGATTATTTTGATTTGATTTGTTAAAGTCCAGTCTGATTTGAATCAGTATGGTTTGGCTTGATAATGTTTGTTTATGTCTATTTCACTATTGTCTAAGTCTGGGATATTTGATTTGTTTAAGTTTTGTCCGATATGATCTGTGATTGATCATTCTAATTAAAAACATCTTAAACCATGAATGTCCAATTTCAAAAATCTTACTAACCAAAGTAAAATACTTGTAAACATTATTAGCTAGAGACTATTTTAGGAAAATTCACCTTCTATATGTTATATTGTTGGGGATTTATATATTATTAGCTAGTTTCGATCCGTGTAATTAATATGTATTGCACTGGGAAGAAAGGCTTAATATTCAACCGTACATAAGCTTGAATAATTGTGGATCTCTTTCTTTACATATGAGTAACCCAATACGTAGTATGTTTATATATGCTCACTAAACAAACATGTATACAGTATACAAAAAAAAAAGACTAATGCTTGAAATAGTTCATCCTTATTCATGTGAAATACGTAAATTAGTTTCAAAGCCGTTCAAGTTATTCGTGTGGCGAAATCCATTGCAAGGAAAAACTTAGACGAAATTTGACCGATAGCAATTTACAAACGAGTAACTTGGTACTTGTAGTATACGTAGCCTTCATTTCTAATAGTAAATATCTTCCATTCTTGCTATGAATGACGAATTATAAATGGATATAGTTTCCACTTTCCAAGAAAATACGTAATACGAAGTATTAACCACACAAAAGTAAAAGAAAATAAGAAGAAAAATTACAATATCACAAAAAGTATGCACCATTACTGATTAGAATTGTGCACCTTAATATAATTTCTGTTTTTCCTTCAAAAATAGAATTTTTCACTTTCTTTTTACGGTCAATTTGAATAGTATTTTACTACGGAGTATTTTTTACCCAATTACTCTGTATAATTTTAGTACGGAGTAGTTAAATATCCAACTTTACGTGAACGTAGATATTCTTTATCTATAATTTAATTTTCATTGTTATAATTTAATTTGCATTGTTGATTATTGACGTATATATAAATGTTGTGATGAAAGAGCTATGTATATCCCAAAGAAAAATTATATAGAATAAATTGAAAATAATATTTTAAATGACTATAGATCAAGGTGTTGATCATCGAATAGGAGAAAACTCAAATAAGATTTATTTAAGTCATATACTCCGTACGTATCAAGTTATTTGTTCAAGTGTGATAGTTTTCAATTATAATATGAAAAAATGATATCACATTTAAAATAAATATTTATGATGAATATCTACTTTTGGTCTAGTATATCATGCATTGGAGGTTAATGGCGTGAAGAATGAGCTGTTTTTTTTTTTTTTTTTGCTTTCTTTTTTTGCAT